TAAAATCATAACACAGCTGCACATGCAGATTACAGGAAAATACACTGAGGTTGGTTCCTGGCTACCCCAGGGTTCAGGAATCCGAGTTTCAGGAATGTGACTGCCTCTAGCAGAGCTGAACTCTTCAACTAGCGCTTGGGGTCACGGAACAGCGCACGGCAGACTCAGGCAGATGTAATAGGCTGCAGATAATAAGCTACCTGCCATACAGAAAAAACAAGGAAAAAGAAGAAAGTTGAGGTTCAATGTAACTGTGAGGATTTGTCAGCTTCATCTGGAAGTATATTGGGGCTGGATCATCAGCTGTACTGATTGACATTATTCACTGAAGATAAAAGCATTGTATTAGTCTACAGCAACTGAATACATGGTTCTGCTGAATACTAGTTGACGGATCACTTGCGCTGACATTGTGTTTAACGTTGTGGCGAAGAACATCTCGGTGACTACATTTGTACAGTCACTCAGCACCACATGGACGTGCCTGCACAGCAGCCTGCCACACCAACCTATGCCAGCTTCACATCACTCTGCAGAGGGGCACACACTGTGTTAGCACTGCATTTTTATTTCTGATAAACCACTTAATTCCTCTCTAATAGTCAATTATAAATTAAAATGCATTTACACAGAAGACCACACTGCATAACAGGAAAGCACGGACAACTAACAACAAGAAAAAGCTTCTGCCACCCTCACTAAAGAAATAACTGCCTGGACCTCTGCAAACAAGCTAGCTTTTACTCACAGGACTAGCAAGAAAAATGAGTTTATCTGCTTTAGTGGTGAAGTGTATTTTTTCACTTGTTTCATCTATAGAATCATCTCATTGACTTTTTCTTGACCTATAAAGGCCAAACACAAATGATGTGGTGGATAGCAGCAGAGGCACTTTTTCATGTCAGTCAGATTAGAGTTAAATCCCCATTGCATTTGGGAAGGAATTTCATAAAGAGTGTGCACCTCAGAGAAAAGGCAACGTGACTTCTGGCAGCCAGCTTTGATGTAGCAACCCGATTTTCTTGCCACACCTGTTTTCTTTAACACGAGACATTAAGATTGAAAGAAAAACTTGTAGAGAAAACCACAGGCTAACATGTTCATCACTGATTCACATACTCCAATTGCTGTGATGGGGAGAGTTGATGCCATCTTCTCCCCTCTTTACAGTTTGAAAAAAGATAATAGGACAAACACTGTATTATTTTTAAGAGAAGATGTCAGATGAAAAAATGAAAATGTCGAAAAGGAGGCTGATATACAGCATTACTTAAGGACTGTTTTGTTGAGAAAAACTGACCAAATGATTTACGAAAGGCTTTTAACAGGGCAGTCTTTGGATTACAGTGAAGATAAAAAATAAATGAAAATCTATTTCAAGTTTACTTTAGCCTAGTCATTTGACAGATGAGGGCAAAACCTGGCAAGAACACAAGTTTTAATCTTTAGATGTAGTGACTTTATTTGCAGTTTTGTGGATTAGAAGTTTTCTGTGTGCAAAGTAAAAGCTATCCATTTTCAGACATTTCCTGTTGAAACTACTTTTTCTACCTGAAGCTCCCATGAGATGCACATGACTGCAAAGACTGAAGAGGCAGAGCTTCTGCTCATGGCACAAAGCACCACCTACATGGGTTGTCCCAGATGTGTTGCAGCCGGTGTGTCCACCACCTTCATCTCATCCTGATTTTTCTTTCGAGCCTCCCTCTTGAACCACATCCCTCCTAATTAATTACAGAATTAACCAGCCTAGTATGAAGACTGTTCATGGCTGGAGGTGGATCTTGGAGCGTGGACTTGTCCTCAGTACGCACAGCCTGGCACGTTTCTTCCTGGCCAGATGGGTCCCCCATCTGCTCCTATTTGAAGGAGCACTTCCTGGAATTAGAGTTTTCCTCTTGACCTTTGTTTGTATAATTCCTTGACTTCCTATTTTCATTCAGGGTTTGGATTGTTTGTTTGTTTGGTTTTTGTTTTGTGGTTTTTTGTTTGTTTGGGGGGTTTTCTTGTGTGGTTTTTTTTTTTGGTTGGTTGGTTTTGTTGTTGTTTTTGTTTTTTTTGTTTTTTTTTTTTCCTCCACCCTCTCACCAAAATCACCCAAAACACATCCAAGTCATATTTAAAAGCCAAAGAG